ACATATTTGTGTAACTTTAGTTCATAGTCTTTGTACTTTTTGGTAGATATAGAGGCTTGATTGATTATCATCTATCTACATTGTAAATTTCACTTCTGTTGGATGCTTAACCTTCAGCATTTTGTTAAGCAGAATATACTTTTGAAGCTTGTTATTTACATTTGTAACAGTGATGTAGTGGCTCAAATTGAACATGAGGACATGGCTGTTATGGGCCACATCAGGCCTGATGAATGGGTAAGAGTTCAGAAGCATTTAGCTCGCTGGAAGTTTTTCTTTTCTGTGTGGATCTACTTCTTTTACCTGTCAAAAAACTTTCTCTTCATTTTGCAAAAGGTGAAAGTTGAACAAACTGCTTGGAATACTACTCTTTCTAATTCATAACTTATAGAACCTTCTATGTATTAACTGATATATACCTTACTGACAAAATTAAATGTTGCCGAACTATTCTTTTTGAAGAATGACCACGCACTGACAACAGTTGTGAAAGAATTCTTCTAAATAAAGCTGACTTACAAAATGATCCCTGTTATTATACATTGTATTCAAAAAGAAAAATTTCATCCGAGCATTTTATGCTTGGAAGGCTACTTCCAGTAATAGTTAGCATGTTTTTAAGGAACTAGTGACCAATGCGGTCTATTTAGAAACTAGAATTTTGGTATTCAACCAACACTTTTCACCTTCAGAGCGGAAATGGGGGAAGAACTTTGGAATAAAATTTGCAAAATAAAAAATGGAACAATCTACAAAATTTGGGTAGATTCACCAACATGAGGAGGTATAAATTTAAATAGAAAGTGACAACCTGGACGGAGTCGACGGTTGCTGAAACAAAGTAATCCTTAAAGAAGTATTATTAAGGAATGTTTATATTGGTGAAAAGATGGAAAAAGGAATTAAGTCGATTTGATTATAATAAAATTGCATAATAGACTAGCTGGTGGATGACCTATGGCTATGTAAGACCAACTGTCAGGATTCCTGTAGCGATGTTGCGTTAGGAGCGAATTCCAAGGGAGTAACAAAATTCATTTATATCTCGAGTAGTAAAAACAATTCCTAGGCTGCATGCAATTTTTGACTGGTTTTACTGAAATTTTACCTAGTTTTATTATTGTACATCTGAGTGGTTTGATATCAGGCAGGTTTAAATGATTTTGTTCAACGGGAATATTTGCTGTCTTTGGGGTGTTCAGAAGCTTTCTCATTCTTGTTGAAGCTGTTGATATCTTCGTATTTTTTCCATGCCTCAACATTAATCAATTTTCTGGGAGATGGAACACAATAATCGCACTCTCTTGACCCTCACAAAATTAATGGTTACATTCTCCCCCTTTTCTCTTTCTGAGTTCTCACTATCCCTAATCTGTTTAAAACCAGGTTGTAATGTTGGATGAACGTGGTCATGATGTGGGATCTGAGCAGATGGCTTCTTTAATTGGAGATGCTGGAAACAAGGTGAGTGATGCGTCATCATGGTAGTCTTTTGTTCATGGTATTACTATCATGATTTAGCAGCAAATCACCCTTTGGAATTTAAAGTTCTTTACTGGTCTGGTGCCTACTGTCAAAAAAGTTGTTTAGTAAGACATCTGTCATCAGTAGGATGAGGATCTATTCGAAAAAGATAGACACTAGAATTATTGTGTGATTCTACTCCTGTTTGTGTTGCAGGGTGCATCAAGCTTACTCTTTTGCATAGGTGGACCTTATGGGCATGGAAGACAATTGCGGGAGAGAGCTAACATATCAGTCAAATTGTCATCTTTAGTCTTAAATCATGAGATTGCCGTAGTTGTACTGATAGAGCAACTTTACAGGTGAGACTGGAACAGGCTATTCTTCTTTTAAAGTATTGGTGCCGCTATTTTCTCTCTCTCTTGCATATCTCTCACTCTCTGTTGTGCTCTCCTTCCCCCCCCCCCAATTTCTGTCAGTAAACATTTCAATGTTGAGAAGATTGTTTGAGAAAATAGTTTCACAACTTGAAGTATTCATGCGTCCTAGTCATACTGTTCTCATTACCTATCCACTTCCTAAGAGGAAGAGAACATAAAATTATTCCTTTTAAAGAGCTCTTATATATCTTTTGAACTAAAATGCAAATATCTATTTTCATCCCTCTTTGTATTAAACACTGTCTCCAATAGGATTGTTTTAATCAAGTAAAAGCTTCCCATAAACGAGATTCGATGAAGCATGTAGTCTACAACTACGGCGGACATAGTATTAAAATGACTAGTTACATAATTCCTCCCTTCCCTTCTTTAAAGGTTCCTTTCAGCCACTTACGTGGGAAGTGTCTTGGCTTTAAATCTTTTGTCAAATCTGATTGTTTATCCTATCATGACCTTACATGAATTTCCAGAAACCTAATAGATACATTGCTCTAAATATTTTGACAGAGCGTGGACCATTCTTAAAGGACAGAATTACCATCACTAGGCATTGGTGTCTTAACTATGATAAAGCGACAGAGCTACAGGTAGTACTTTCATATCCTAAATATTTGAACTGCTATTCTATTTCCTCAGTGAACTTGGTGCATTATAATTTAAGTTTAATAGATCGAACTTTGCCATATATGCTGCATTGGCCTTAAATAATGAATTTGGAGAGTGATGCTTTATTTGCTTATTAAAATAAGGTGAGCTTTATTACCCACTGTGCTTCACTATTTCAAGTGTACTAATTAGCAAAATGATTAAATTCATTGGCTTGTCATACCCTTGCTAATCACCATGTTCTTTACTGGCTTGAATATAAGATGTCCTTTTGCCGCCAAAAGCCTAGAGAGAAAAATCATGCAGAATCATACCGTGGGAAACCGGGAATAACTTCAGGCCAACTCAATGTAAACAGTGACAATGATAAACTAGGTTTTCACCAATTTCATTTCTTAAACTAACCATAGGTTACATGATCTAGGAGTTGGATGTCTTTGGCAGCAACCCTATCACAGTTCTCCTATTACTTGGGATTATTGCCTTTATTAGTATATTCATTTTGCTAGTTTTCCTGGTCAAACTAGAGATTACCATCCATACAGTCAATAATTTATTGACTGTTTCAGGATTTTTATTTCTTGGAATTGGATTAGAAGAACTGAATGACTTCCAAATTTCATTCAACCACCATCAGAGGAACCAAATTCAACTCAGGTTTGAAATATCTTTTGAGGATAACCTTGGCCCTCATTTATAGATATTGGACGTGCCTAACCACCCGCCTAAATATGGTTGAGAAGTGAGCGGAACCTCATCCTTAGATCTTAGAAGTCTGTTGAGGTTGTGACTGTCCAAATCGTTGATGCTTAACTTGGTTTACGACATGGTCTGCGAAGTCGGATATCGTGATGGTGTGTCATGTCACGCCTTACTAGTTGGGCTTAACCGGTCCGGATCTGACGTCTCTACACTTGATGCCTTCCACTGCCTCTAATCTGACTTCTTAAGAGTGACAAATATGGTCTATGCAAACTTTAGATGATTTTGAATGGTATGTGTTGATCATTGTAGTCCCTTTTCAACTTGAAGACTCAGATATTGATCTCCTACTCCATGTAACAATATCTAGCCGTGACATGAAACCTAAGGATTGAATCAACGAGATGACTGCGCAGAAAATCTGAAATGCACAATCTAACAGTTGACAAATTTTGCATTTTCCTGTTTACATTCACTTACATAGAGTAACTAAAAACTGCTACCGGTTGAAATCTCTTGTTCTCACTTCCATTCAGGTTTTAAAGAAACAAGAGAGGATAAAAAGAAGTAAAACGTCAATAGATGTTAAATCTATCATCACAATGAAATCAGAATCTTCGGAACAAACAACTGACAAACACAACCTATTTTTGCCAATGAAAACAACCAAACAGCAAGGTGCAGCTTCTTACTTGCAACATACAGGTTTCCGGAGTTCAATAGACAGAAAAGAATACTAACCCACAAGAAAATAAAAAAAGACGTCATCAAATGGTATCTTTAGATTGAAAATAGGGGGTTACACACACAAAAGAAAATCCAAAAGATGTCATAGAAAATGGGTTTCTTAAAGAGACCAGTTATCAACCGTTTTCTTTTCTTTACGAGAAGATTTTTTTAATAAAGAAACAAGGCTAAATAGTGACTAGATTGGCATGAATTGTCAGCTAGTCATTCCAACTTAAATAGTGACCAGATAGATGCCTCTACTTGACAAAGGTGTGTTTTGTGAGCCTCTGCTTGACAAAGGTGTGTCTTGTGAACCCCTCACCCTGATATGGAAAATCAAGTCTTCTACACTTACATTTGAGTGCATGAGAGTTTTAAATTATGTTTTTTCCCTTTTTCTTTTCTTTTCTAAAAAAATTCCACCTTCCTCCCTCTCACTGCCCCTCCATTATTCCACCCTATAGCCACCATTATACAACCCGAAGAACACAACGAAAGCACGACATGAATATCTCTCGGGTTTCTAACTTTCAAACATTCTCAAGAACTCACTGTAGTTGGCAGTAGAGGTGACAAATTGGTTAAAAGAAAACAATTATCCACCCACATTATCCATAAAAAATGTGCTGGATAATGAACCACTTAAAAATGGGTCGAATATGGATAAAAAACCATACTATCCACTTAGAAAATGGTTAACCAATGGATAACTAATGTGTATTAACTTTTATATTTGTAAAGCCTCAAATTGGAGTTCCTCAAGTTTGGAAGCAAGGAATTCTCTCATAAGTGATCATATTTAAGAAGCCATGGATAATATGGATATCCATATTATCCGCCGGATAAACCCGTTTTTATCCGTCTCAAATATGGGTCGGGTCGGATAATTTATCCGTATTTTAAATTATCCGCTTTGACCCGCTCATATCCGGCCCGACCCTCCCGTTTGCCACCCCTAGTTGGCAGTAAACATTGTTACTAATTACAAATTTAATATTATAAAGAAAGAAAGGGATCATAGTCAACAACCTGCACAAGGGAAAGAAATGGCCATCTTAGTTCTTGTAAACAATCTTTTCATACTCATATGAGAATAAATTGATCATGTACTCGCAACATGTAAGCTACTAATCAAATTTCATAATATCGGGCTCAAAATAACTCAAGATCCATGTTCACGCTGGCCACAAATTCGTCTGGCTGGTTAGAATGTCAACTCAACTCGCTATCCTACCCCACATTGATCTAGCTTCCTAATCTAAATTTAAAGGAAAAGAGAAAACACAAGGGACAATTTAAAAACAGATCACTAGATATGTAACATTTTGTGGAAGACATAACTATAGCAGTTAACTAGATTAGTCAGGTCAGAAGAGGAAAATTTCATCGTCCTGAACCTTCGTCAGGAGTCTGCAGCAACAGCAGCTATAGCTTCTGGCAAGGGGCGGATTTTCACAGGTGAAATGTGAGAATTGAGTGGAATCTGGGAAGGACCTAGTAACTTCTTCTCCTTTGGGAAAGATCCCACAATTCCAAGAACTTTTCGCAATTCATTAGCCAGCTCAATGATGTAATCATCTTCATGGCCAATATCATACAAAGCCTTCTCCATTTTGAATATATACTCCCTGTTATCTCCACATGGTCCAGAGGCAGTTGCAATTTGCCTGCAATATGTAAAATTAGGATGTATTAAAAGTGATTTATCTCAGAAAATAATTGAAGGAAGGAGCAGATAACAGAAGCATAAATCTCACCTAGCCATCTCTTCCAGTGGAGCAGGACCAAGATAGTATTTATTATTTACTTTGTCAGGAGTGGATGTAAACCTGAAATAAGTATTTGAATCATGTCAGTGACCATTTATAGTAATTCTCTACCATCTATTGTGTTCTTTGATTTGCATTTCATAGTGCTTTATTAGATTGTGCTTAGATAGGAAAGAAAGATATAAAAAAAGGACAACAGCCAAAGAACCTACACTATCACTCCAGTTAAGGCTGGATGTAAGGAGTCTTCTTCCTGAAATAGAAAGAACAAATATGTTTCAGCTAAGCCAAACATGCGATTCAATGTTAACTTAAGTCATATGTGTTCTGTGCCCTTTTATAACAGGATAACAAGTTCAGAATTTCAAGTTATAACAAACAGTGAGCTTTAGTAACACGAGACCAGATATCAAACAAAACATCAAAGGATTATCGACTTACAGTGAAGAAGTTCACCAAAGTCTTGCTATCATACTCGCACTCTCTTCTTTCTAAATACTGTAAACCAAACAAGAAATTATCAGGATCACTTCCAAACAATATAAGTTCTGAAAAATAAATTCGCTTTTGCGAGTCAATGTACCTCCATTGCCTTCTTTTCTTTTTCAGGTCCTCCTCGCACACAATAAGCAGCACCCCACTGAAGGAAAATCCACAGATAAGTTAAATTGAATGGCTATGAATTAATATAAAACTTCAGTTTACTTGTGAGATCAGTTTCAACATGTTAGGCTACATATGGAAAAGGATTTAAGTTAATATAAAGTGTAACGATACTTTTATATCATCACCAATAAATAAAAAATGATTTTTTACAACAAATATAGTACAGGTTTATCAGGTTTCACATATTAATATATTAATGATTGTCATAAAGGTAGTAATGGATGGTAATATCAACTTACGCAAATGGATCCTTTGCTTTCATCCAAAGTGCAAGTTCTTGCAGGGTGTTCAGGTGTACCTCTATGATCAATGCAAGCTGATGATCATGAAATTTTAGTATTTCACACTATAGATTAGACAAACAGAAATCAACTATATGAAGCAGGAGAAAATAACGTACCAAGATCAAACACACGCCTGTAATCCTTTATGTAACCAATAAATTTCTCATCATAATCAAATCCAGGGTTCCATACCAATGAACCATACCCAAAAATCCAAAACACCATGATTGTGAATCTTCCTCAATTTAATACCTGCACTATTAATAATAACATAAATTAATTCATCCACCAATTATTTTTCTCCATCAGGCGAAAAGAAACACACACAAACATGGATTTCTGAAAATGGTGGAAAAAGAATAGGTCATAAAGAAAAGGCCAACTGGGTTTTCTAGTTGTCGCAAATGGTGGAAAAAGAATAGGTCATAAAGAAAAGGCCAACTGGGTTTTCTAGTTGTCGCATTGCGAGGCATCAGAAAAGGCCAACTGGGTTTTCTAGTTGTCACATTGCGAGGCATCAGAGAAGGTCAAATCAGCTTATACTCGCAAAAGAGGGTCAAAACAAGAGGATAGTACAAGTGTTGCAGCTAAATGTACAACATGATTATGCACCTTCCAACGGATAAACAGAAGGGGAAAAAACGTGAAAAGTACTCGTTGGAAACTAAAAGGGATGCATAAGATTGCAAAAATGTGATGAACACCCAGAAAATAGAATGATCTAAATTAAGAATAAAAGGGGGGAAAATGGAAATCAAATATAATACTTACAAATAAATCTTGTTATGTTCAAATCAATATGAGGCAATGCCTTCCAAACGAAATGTTGACTCTATGTTGTATACAATTTGTTCAAATAGAGAGACAAGAGAGAGCAATGTGGGTATTTTCTTCTTCCTTAATGGTTCTCTCTTTCTCTCTCTGTATCTCTCTGTGTGTGGTTTAGGGAGAAGGAGGAGAATAAAGTATTTATAGAAATTATGTATTATCCCTTTTTGTATATGTATGTACGAATCTATTAGCGTGTATAATCAAATGTACTATGTGCTATGAAATATTCTTTCCAAAATATTTTTTACAAAAAGGGAGAAAATCCTTATTGACTTTTGAAATATTCTTATTGAATTATTTTTTAATGAAGATGAATGAAATACGTGTAGAAGATGGTGCTATAGCACTATTGGAAAAAAAAACTAGTTGTGCCTATACAAAGTACAAATGCTCGTATAAGATCAACGCCTGCAAAATGCATTTTGTTAAAAATTATGTTAGTATAGCAAAACCAGTTTCACCTAACTCGAACAAATTCCTGCATTCAAAGACCATGCCAAAAGAAACCAATTTCACCTAACTCTATCAAAATCAATGTCATGCCTTGTACGTGACAATAGTATTTTAGTATTTCCCAAGTACTATTTTATTATATTTTCCATCTCTTCAAATCTTTGACATTTGAGTGACTCAACAAACTTGTATGCGTATGTATATGTATATGTATATGTATATGTATATGTATATGTATATGTATATGTATATATATATGTATATGTATATGTATATGTATGTATGTTAATGGCATTTTGCATGATACGAAAGAGCAGTACAAATGAATGCCTTTTTGAGTCCACAAACGTTGTTTCCCAACTTAGAGAGTGTTTGACTAAGCTTATAAACTAGTCAAATCAGTTTATAAACACTTTTCAGTTTATCTATGTGTTTGGTAAAGTTTAAAATGCTAATAAGCCTAGTGCTTACCAGTTAAAAATAAGCCAAAAGTCATAAGCTAGTCACCCTCAATTTATGAATTTTTAGCTTATAAACACTTTAAGTTTGACCAAATTTGTTACTATTTTATCCGTAAAATATTCCTTTTTAGAACAAAACTCCTACATCGCTACTCCCCGCCTCTTCACGTCTGCAATTTTTATTGACTATTTGAGGTAAGCAAATAATTCTCTATTCCTTTGCATATTTGTATCTATATGATTGTGTATAATCTTTGAAGTGTATGTAATAAACGAGGACACACCAAATTTTTGGTGTATTGCTTTCTAAGTGTAGTAGGATGAAGACAGTATTTGTTTCTCTTCAAATATTTTGTCCTATTTAGTTTTTTTTTGTGATAAGCTTTTGTCAATTTATTAATTATTATAACTTATGATTATATGCTTATCATCAAATAAATTATATTTATCATAAAAATTATCTTATTTAATCACAGTTTGTATTTAAAATAAACTGACAAATAGAATATTTTTCAACTTACACATTTTAAATACTAGTTTGTTATTTAAGAAAGTATATTTTGATTCTCAAAATATTTATAGTATTTATTTACCTTTTTGTACATATGTGTATAAAAATTAAAAGACTTGATTTATGTAAGATGAACATGGTTCTACAAAATGGGTCAAGTTGGGCGGGTTAGGTTATAACTCATTGTTTAGCCCATCTTGACCCAGCCCATCTTAGCCCAAGTACTTTGGGCTGGGTTGAACAATAACCCATTTATTGACCTAACCCATATTGACCCACCCAAATTCAGCTCAATCCGCCAATTTGCCATCCCTGGTTCATTGAACCTGGACAGTTTCTTGAATTACCTCGTTTTCCGCATTTTTTGGACCAGAATTTAATGCTGTGATTAGGGGCGTACATAAGCTGGGTTGGTTCGGAATTTACAATTACTAAATCAAACTAATTGTGTCGGGTTATTAAATCTAAAGACCAAACCAAACCAATAAAACTTGGGTTTTCATGTTATTCGGGTTTTTTCGGATTTTTTTCCATTAAAATCTTCGTAGAACAAAACATATAACGTATGCTCAAAATATTTCTTTAATCCTAGTAAGATACAATTATATAAAGTATTTTCCAAGAAAATAATACAAAATATGAGATGTGTCATGGCATTATCCTAAAATATTCAACAATAAAGACAATAAAATTATGTAATACAAATATTGCTAATTAAAAGGCCATAATAAAAATAAACATAATCTAAAAGTACTTAGTATGCTAAAATAAATAGATTAATAAGGGAGTATTAATTACATGGCTAAACGCTAAAGAAAAATAAAAATATGTTATGCATTTTAATCTAAATTATTGCAAAACAAAAAATAGATATTCAATACATTCTCGTTCGTAATATTGAATTGAATATCTTTTGTTAGTATTAGTATTTTAATTTGATTTTGGTTTGGGCTTTTGTTAGCATTAGTTAATTTACTAATATTAGTGGCTATAAAACTTATTGGATCATTCAAAAGTTCTAAGTCTAACCTTGAAATAATATCTTAAAAAATAAAATTATGAATTTTTTTAAGAAATATTTATAAATTACATCACAATAAGTATATTTATATATTAAATATACCTAAAATTTCTATATATGTAATGTCGGGTTGGTTTGGTTTCGGTTTGACTTTCTTTAGTTAAAACCAAACCAAACCAATTATGGTCGGGTTTTTTCCAACACCAAACCAAATCAGATCAAACCATAGTCGGATTTTTTTTCTCGGTTTGACTCGGATTATTGGGTTGGTGCGGTTTATCGATTTCCTTTGTACACCCCTAACTAGGGGTGTACATAGGCCGGGCTGGTTCGGATTTTTTAATTACTAAACTAAACCAATTGTCTCGAATTTTTAAATTTATAAACCAAACCAAACCAACAAAAGTCGGGTTTTTCAATCACGGGGTTTCTCGGGGTTTTCGGGTTTTTTCCGAAAAAACCTTCATAGCATAAAATTTATAATTTGTACTCTAATATTTCTTAGGTCATAGTAGGATAAAACTATATAAGATGTTACCCAATAAAATGATACAAAATAATAGGAGATGAGTCATGATTATACTAAAATACTCAACAAATTGCATAAGATAAATATTGCTAATTAATAATCCATAATAAAAATAAACATAATCTAAAAGTACTAAGTCATGTTAAAAAAAATACGACTAATAAGTACTAAGTATTAATTACATGACTAGATAATATTAAAAGTGAGTTATGCATTTTCACTATCTAAATTAATGCAAAACTAAAAAAATAAATATCCAATACTATTGTTATTTCTAGTATTGAATTAATTTTTTTTTGTTAGCACTAGTATTAATTTGATTTTGCTTGGGGCTTATTTGAGTTATTAACTTTTATAGGCTATAAAACATATTTGACCATTCAAAAGTTTTAAGTCCAAGCTTGAAATAATACATTAAAAGAGAGAACTATGAAAGAGTTTAAATTATATTTATAAATTACATTACAATAATTATTTTTATGTATAAAATATTTTTAAAACTTGTATATATGTAATATCGGGTTGGTTTGGTTTCGGTTTGACTTTTTTTTAGTTAAAACCAAACCAAACCAATTATGGTCGGGTTTTTTTTCCTAACACCAAACTAAATCAAAACAAACCATAGTCGAGTTTTTTTTATCTCGATTTGACTCGGATTATCGATTTGATGCGATTTGTCAGTTTCCTTTGTACCCCTACCCCTAGATGTGATATGGGGCAAGTTTAATTACATGGAAAAGCTTGAACTGAAAACAAGTCGCTTAATAGATTTTTGAAAATCTTATCCATAAATGTACTTAAAGACTATTGTTAAACATATTAAAAATTCATTGAATCTAGACTCCTCAAGGCCAAAGAGCAGGTTTAAGAAAATAGTACAAGAAGCTAGCCCTGTGGTCAAAGAAGTAAAAAGATAATATTAAGAATTAATGTTCAATTTTTAGCATAAATGGCGCTATATGAATTGTTTTTTCTGTTCAAGTTTCAAACATTAACTAGTTTAATTCTTATACTAATAAAAATAATAAATATACAATAAATAGTACTGTTAAATTAAATATGCACGAAAACTAATTGGAACACCACCAAAATTAATGAGATCAACTTTGACAAAACGAAAAGGGACATGAGGTACAAAAATTGATGGCATTGCACATGGATATTTTTTTTTGTTGGTATAGACCATCCTTGTCCTATCAATTAAAACATAACATGTGCGGTTCAAACTTTCAAAAAATCCATTATTCCATCTTCAAGATCCTAATTCCCAGCAATGGTCCAACAAATCTAAGTATGTTAATGAAACAATAAAAGAAGAAGAATAGTATTGCGGAGAAAAGCAGAAAGATGATTCTTATTGATTTGGGATGAATTACAATGGAATAAAAACCTTCTATTTATGGGGAGAGGGTGACTTAGCCACCAAGAAATGAACCCTAGAATCTCTCTAAATATAGACATTTACCATAAATATAATTCTATTTATAACACTCCCCCTTGAATGTCTATTCAACAGATAATGTGCCTCGTTAAAACCTTAACTAAAATAAAACCCAATGGGAAAAAAATTCTAGAAAAGGAAAAAGAGTACACATGTTTAATACGTCTTTTGGTTGCCTCGTTAAAAACCTTGCAAGGAAAACCCAATGAGACAAAACCTTGTAAGGAAAAAAGAGTGCAACGCGCATTAACTCCCCTGATGAGAGCATCAATTCACATCCTTGAGCCTTCGCATCTCAATCTTGTACACCATCTTCAAGAGATTGTTGGTAGAGATTTGATAAATAAATCAGCCATACTAACTTGAATGAATATTTTGCACCCTGAAATCATCATTCGTAATAGATATATAATGTCTTCATAAATATCGTGGAATGACTCTTCAATATCTCTACAAAGGTATTCTTGCTATCACATTATCATACTTATAGTTATAGTAAGATACATTTGACCACAAATTGCACTAAGGAAGTGGTACTTCAAGATTAAGAATTGTATATGCTTCAAGCAACTTAAATCCTTCATGGATTGTCATATAAGTTAAGTCATATAAGCCATCTAAAGAGACTTTAGATGCATATCAAATTTTCATGTCATGCTAGACATATAAGATATCGAAAACTGATTGCACATATCATTGACTTTATACTTTCA